TGAAGTATTCAAAATTTTAACAATCTACTCATAAAACCAAATTATATATAAGTATAACAGAGATGGATACTTGAGCTTTTTAAATTTATTTTATTTTATTATTATTTTTTATTTGTCTAGAGAGAGAGGGCGTGAGAGTGGGGAAGGGGCAGAGAGGGAGGGAGAGACAGAATCTCAAGAAGGCTACAGGCTGTCAGCACAGAGTCAGATGTGGGGCTGAATCCCGCAAAGTGTGAGATCATGACCTGACCTGAAATCAAAAGTCGGTTGCTTAACTGGCTGAGGCACTCAGGTGCCCCTAACTTTTTAAAAAATAAGGTACTTATTTCAAGATATTCATTTTCTTAAAGATTTTAATTATGTAGACATACCTATACATTATCCCCCGGTATATTTTTTAAAACATACGATAAAAGCTAACCATTGTACGTGATTTTTTTTTGATGTTGTATCTTAATCAAAAAAACCCAATTTGACTGTTTTTAGGTTACTGTTCTTTCCCCCCATAATCAGCTGTTATTTTCTATTCTATCCCATATTGATAATTAGTTATTTGTCTACCTAGTACAGTTCAGTTTTCTTCAAATAACACAACATGTCTTTAATATTTATTCTATCTTTGGTAGTATTTAATTAGGTCTTGGGCATTGAGTATTTGCTTGAAGAACACTTGCAGAATTGCCCTGAAGCTTAAAGTGAATTCCTATTTTCCAGTGAGAAAAAGGCAAGCCTGAGAGGTCATTTTAAGGGACTAACTAGCTATTCAGTATGGGTCTTGGAATAATACTTAAGAATAAAAACTACAGGGGTGCCTGGGTAGCTCAGTCTGTTAAGCATCTGACCCTTGCTTTTGGCTCAAGTCGTAATCCCATGGTGGTGACATTAAGCTCTGCTTGGGCTCTGCACTGAGCATGGAGCCTGCTTGGGATTCTCCCCATCCCTTGTTGGTATGCCTTCTCTCTCTCAAAAATAAAATAAATAAAATAAAATAAAATAATAAAATAAAATAAAAACTACAGTGACCAAGAAAACTGTAATTTTCATGTTGGCCATGCAGTATAGTTCTGTACTAATAATGATATGAAAACTGTCTTACAATCAGAAGATGACTTGGGCATAAAATCAGAGAAGGCAGGGTTGTAGGATGAGGTGACTATTGTCATCAAGGAAGGGTTGCTTGATGCATCAGTCACTGTTACAAGGTATCAGTACCTATGAGGATTAAATAGTTAACGGGGAGTCAGGGAAGTCTATCTCCTGGATGGTCCTGGAAAGGTATTACTAAACTCTTGCTTATCTATTCTCCTATTTCAGGTTTCATGCAAAATACACCTCTTCCATTAATAATTGGGCCTCAGTTTTAGTGATGCTATTTCAATTGCACTCTTTAAGTCCAGATATATTAATTGAAATTTGAGGATGAGTGGTTACTAGAACAACTCGGGCAATTCATAGATTATAATTTTGATTAGGTTATTCCTTCAGGTAAGTTTTCTTACTTATATACTGTATTTTCCATAATTTCTTTTCAGGACTTTGCTCTCTTCCTTGATTTGGCTACATCTAGATTTACAGAATAGAAAGATATATTCAGGATTTTAAACACATTCTTGAAGTGCAACATCACATTATAGGCATAAAGTGATAAGTATCCTGGTTCAAGCAAGTAACACCACCATGGAGGGAAGAGTAGCTTTCCCATATAAAAGTTAATGAGTGGTGTGTATGTATGCATGTACGCACGTGTGTGTGTGTGTGTGTGTGTGTGTGTGTGTGTTGTTTTTTATGATGTCTCATATAGAAAACGAAGACATTTTTCTATGAATAAATACAGTCATGTTTAGTCTCCTATCCTGAGGTCTCCATTCTGTAGTCAGGATCACTCTTCATATTGGTCTATGGACAGGAATTTATTTTATTTTATACTCAAGTGGCTCAACCAACAGATATAATGGGAGGACTTGCATATTTCCCAATACTCATAGGAAAATAAGTTGTTTCTTTTGGACTTTTCTAGACACGGTGGCAATTCAGAAATTAAGAAGGGTTGACTTCACTGGATTATCCAATCTGAGGCTGTGTGCGCTCTTATTCATTGATTCAATGTTTCTGAGCCTTAGCTTCGTTTCTTTTCTTATAAAATAGTCCTTGCAATAATACCTATCTTATTTTACTTAATGTGAATGTGCTTTAATTTTACTAAGATGTAGACACGGTAAAAACCTTTATTTCTATCATCAAACCAAACTTTATGATGCATTTTGGTAATCACTGGTCTTTTACATTATATATACTATTTAAGAATATTTGCCTTTTCTGAACTTTTAAGGTCCTATATGTTTGAATTTTATTATTGAAATTTATTTTCAAACAGCAATGGGAAAATTAAATAGCAAATTTGAGGGGCTAATTTATGAAGACATTATGGAGTTTTATTTCTCACCATATATGGGATCTAAGATTTTTTTGTTTCTTTATTTTTGGCCTTACCATGTGTATTATGGACCATAATTGTTAGAAGAAACTATGTGACCTCTAAAATCTATGTTTCAGGGGCGCCTGGGTGCCTCAGTCGGTTGATCATCCGACTTCGACTCAGGTCATAATTTCACGGTTCGTGGGTTCGAGCCCCACATCGGGCTGTGCGCTGGTGGCTAGCTCAGAGCCTGGAGCCTGTTTCAGATTCTGTGTCTCCCTCTCTCTCTGACCCTCCCCTGGTCATGCTGTCTCTCTCTTTCTCTCTCAGAAATAAATAAAACATAAAAAATAAAAAAGCCAAGATGCATAGAATCTATATTTTAAAATATTTATTATTGGTAGAAATCCATTATTTTATATTTGGGGTTAAAAACTGCAGGATTTTTTTTTCTTTTCAAAGAAACTGTAGGTTTTTTTTTTTTAAAAAAACATGGGATCCATTATTTTCTTTTAAATATGTGTATAACATGGTTTTTGAGTCCCAACCACACAGCAATATTGTGCATTATCAGCTCTCCTAGATTTTTATGAACTCTGAACGAAAGAGCTAAATTACATACTTTAAGGACACTAATGTGTGAAAATCTAGAGATATGGAAAACTTGAAGAACTTCCACTTAAGTGGAGACACACCTTTGTAAATATGTATCACAGTAATTTTTCAAATGGAAATGCTACAGTTTACTGTTTGCTAACCATTCCTGGCAACACTATGTCTGTTTAGGATACAGAGGATTATTTTAATTTGATTTCTGACTAGTGGTTCTTTGAAGCTGACTTAATTCGAAATATAAATATATCTGATATTTTCTCTTTTAGGAATATTTTAAGACATAATGTCATTTATTTTGGTCTGTGCTGCATTGTTCTCTTGACTGTTTTAATTATCTCTTTGTACAATGATTCCATGGATGCAGTAACTTTTGAGAACCTGAAATAAGAAAGGATATCATTGGATGATATCAAAGAATAACATTGATATTTAAAAAGGCCTTTCAAATACCATGGGCAATACAGATAAATGCACAGGAGTAGCAGTTCTGGGTGGAGGAATGAGACGGTTTATACATGAGATTTTTAGTACAAGTATAAAGCATAAAAGTGTAACTATTATAAATTATTCCCAATGAATAAAGGATAAATATGAAATTTAATTTTGGAACCTTTAAATCATCATTCTAGATAGCCAAATTTTTCTTCCAAGGATATAGCTTCAAATTACTACTTTTCAGGAAAAATCTGGTTTTGATGGAAAGTTTTCTGTTTCTTCAAAGTTTATTTTTGAGAGAGAGGGAGAGAGAGAGCACAAGTGGGAGAGAGGCAGAGGTGAGGAGAGAGAACCTGAAGCGGGCTTTGCTCTGAAAATAGAGAGCCCAGTGCAGGGCTTGAACTCACCAACTGTGAGAGCATGACCTGAGCTGAAGTCAGACACCAGGTGTCCCTAGATGGAAAAACTTCTAATTGTCTTATTAATCGGGGCATACTGAGTTAATTTTTTTTTAATTACCCAGGGTTATTGTTATGAGCATAAAGTATAGGACAGCATTACTACCATCAAAGGTGACAGGATACCCCAATACCAGAGGAATCCAGACTTTCGAGTTTCTGATGTTTCATTTTTATTCCGGTTTAGATACGGAAATATCTGTAAATAAGAACAAGGAGATGCTAATGATGGTCCCATCTACTTTTAAATTTTTTCTTTTACTGAAAAAATCATCAGTCAAGATCTGTATGTTCATCTTAAATTCTCAAGCCATAATAATAACATAAAACTCCTCAGGATTGATGTCACAGAAATGTCAATAGATGGTGCTTCCCTGTCGCCTTCTAATTGTGTGGACTAATGTGATCATGTGCTCTGAGTCATCAGTAACAACTCACATTGCAATTCAGAAAACATTTCTGACCATCTGTATACTGATTAATGAAGGGATAAAAGGAAACTTGAAATAGTTAAATTTCTTTCTTTTTTTTTTAATGTGTTTATTTTTGAGAGAGACAGCATGAGCAGGGGAGGGTTGGGGAGGGGGGGAACAGAGGATCCTAAGTGGGCTCTGCATTGACAGCAGACGGTGTGATGTGGAGCTCAAACTCACGAACCATGAGATCATGACCTGAGCCAAAGTCAGACGCTCAACTGCATGAGCCACCCAGCTGCCTCCAATAGTTAAATTTCTCAAAGAGATTTTAATCTAAAAATGTGGAGAGTTGTGTAATTAACCATCTGTAGTACAAGGATGAGCAAATAGGCCTCCCTTACCCTGGCTTCCTGAACTTCAGTGGTGTTTGGTTTGAATAAGTATAAGCAGATCTTTAGCAAATTTTTATTTAGTCATATGTATATACATAATATACATAATATATATATAATGCATATATAATATATAATGAAGACTTATGATGTATACTGTATATGTATTACATGTATAATCTTTATAAAGTTTATATATTATATACATTCATGCATTTATATAAATATTTTGTCCTTATATTTATCTAACTTTTTTTTTATTCAACAGAAATCTTCTTGACAGAGACACATTCTCTAAATCTGATCCAAGTAGGTACCTATTACTTGCTTTTTTTTTGTTTTCTTACTTAATTTTGCAAAAATTGTATGAAACTTGTAATTCTTGTTTATTTTTTATTTAATTTAATTCTTTGTTTATTTATTTATTTTGAGAGAGAGATAGAGAAAGAGAGCACTAGCAGTGGAGGGAAAGAGAGAGAGAGGGAGAGAGAAAAACCCGAGCAGACTCCACACCGTTAGCGTAGAGCCAGATGGGGTGCCCCATCCCAGGAATGGTGAGATCATGACCTCAGCCCAAATTAAGAGTCAGATGCTCAACTGACTGGGCCACCTGGGCACCCCCTCCCCTTTTTATCTTAAATATAGTTCTTGTTTAAATATTTGTTTTAAAGCACAGAAGACACGAAGGGGGATGGTCTCAAGCCCTACATCTCAGGTACTAAAGAGAGGAAGTTGCTTAGCACTTTGAGAATAAGAGGAAAATATAATGTAAGACAGTTCACCTTGAAATGGAAACCTCATGGTATTGCCATATGGTAGAAATTACATTTGAAAGGTGACCATATTGGACTATAATTTTAAGTGATTTAGTCTCAGAGTAATACTTTTCCTTCTTTTTCTTTTCTTTTGTAAATAAAAGTTGTATGCAAAGGCATGTTTAACCATGGATGTACTGAATTTTTTGATTCCTAATTATGTATATTGAAAAATTGGATATAACTTGTCAAATGAAAAAGATAGTTTAAATTAGAAAACAGCTGCAGTAATGTGTACATCAAGTGTGTCCAAATCTTATAGTAGTTACAAATTCATATCCTGCAGCTCTTCATCTCTATAAATATGTGCACAAACGTGGTTTAATTACAGGGGCAAGGTTTTGTGAGACATTAGAGTTCTTGAGGTACCCACTGGGGAAAAAGCATTATAATTTGTGGGTATTAAAAATTCCTGGAGCTCATTTCACAAATGACTGGGAATTTTTTTTATCCCTTAACCTTTACCCCAAACACTTAATTTCTCTTTTTGCGACTTCCTTTCACTGTTCACAGGCTTTCTTACCAGTTTACAAATACTGAGTGTGGGATTTGCAAATGTTAAATGTAGACTGTGATATGCTCCAGATTGTTCTTCTCGTGATGACTTTGATCATTACAGGCATCTTCAGAAGAGCTTGACTTACGGCTAGTAACATAGTAAAATATTTCAAACTGTTAAACTGTAGTTTAAAATTATATGTATATCTGTAGCATAAGGTAGATGAAAACATTAGCAGATAATTATTACATATTTTTGTGCCTAGATCTATGCATATTAGGTTCTAAAGATCTGATATAGTTTTTATTTTATTATTTTATGTAATTTATTATATATTTTTTAGATCTGATATAATTTTTAGTCATTTGCTGTTTTACTAGCAGCCTTCTTCCAAGAAGAAGGCTAGGAATTATGTCGTATTTTTTTGAGAGAGAGAGAGCAAGCGAGCAGAGGAGGGGGCAGAGGGAGAGAGAGAATGTTAAGCAGTCTCCATTCTCAGAGCAGAACCTGAGATGAAATCAAGAGTCAGACACTTAACCTGACTGAACCATCCAGGCACCCCCCAGAAATTATTTTGATGTAGCTTTTGGACAGCTGAAAAATAAATTGTATACATTCATACCTTTAATTTATAAAAAGATATTTATATATTTATTTTTTATCTTTTATAGTTTGTGTATTATATGTACAAGGAGTTGGAAACAAAGAATGGAGAGAGGTAAGAATTAAAAAGTTTTAAAACATCAATTGTGCTGGAAAATATGGTGTAAATTAAAATTTGGTCAAGGTAATACTTCTTGATTTTACTTATTTTAAGTCAACCCAAAGATTGGAGCTTTTTAGTTTATGAGAGTCATCTTTGTGTGTGTGTGTGTTTTATTTTAGAGAGAGAGAGAACATGAGTGGGGGAGAGGGGAGGAAGGAGAGAGAGAGAGAGAGAGAGAGAAAGAGAGAGAGAGAGAGAGAGAGAGAGAGATTGGGGGAACACAGGCCCCATGCTCAATGTGGAGCCAGATGCCGGGCTTGATCCTGCGACCCTGGGATTACGACTTGAGCTGAAACCAAGAGTTGGAGACTCAACCAATGAAGCCACAGGCACCCCTGTGTGTGTGTGTGTGTGTGTGTGTGTGTGTGTGTGTGTGTGTTTAATAATCCTCAATGTTTGTCCAATGTATGAACTTCTACTCTATTCTAGCCTTGAAACTTGTATTTTCCTGCATCTAAAGTAAATTTGATGTGTTGTAATGCTTACATAATTGAAGTCTGGACTTAAGTCTCACTTTTAGAGGTCAACTGCTGATTTTATAAAATATTATTTTAAGGGTTTTAAGTGTGGTGTTTGATATTAACTATCACCTTCTTTCTTGCCAGTTGGTAACTTATTATTTGAAAATAAAGTAGAAACTCAGTCTCCTAAAGCAAACTTACTTTGCTTAATGAAATGAAAGCAAGGAGGCAGAATTATTTTAGTTGATTTATATTCTAGAGTATCTCTCCTTTCAACTGGAAGGATGATCACTGGAAGAGAAGGGGGAGTGCAGATTAAAATAAAAGGCATTTCTATCTGCTTGTGGTTGCTGGTTAGCCCAAGAAGTTAGTGCATTGTGTTAATGAGGTTACAGTTTCTGGTGAGATTTCCCTAGTGAGATCTGTGCTATTTGTTGCCATAGATTGCTTTGCGGCCAGTCATTTTACCAGTGTGTCTCAACTGTGAGATAGAGGATAAGAATAGATCATTGTAATTTATTTTCAAAACTGGCAGAATAAACCAATTCAAAAGTTGTCCCTCCTGATAATGGGTCAGTGGGATAGTGAGCACCAGTTTCTCATATTTAATTGCTTCTAGACATTTCCATGTGATATTTATCTCAAACTCTATTTATACGGTTGTCAATTCATCAGGTTTACCTTATGGCCTCTGCCTCTTTGCTCCATGTATAGCTAATAGCATCACCAGTCAAAATATCAAACTGCAACTTTTATAGCCACCCTTGACTTTTCCTCCCACACCTTCCTTATTTATCAGTTATCCACTGGTGTGAATTCTCTTCCATCCAAAAAAAAAAAAAAAAAAATCACAAATGAGCCATGTCCTTCATTCATTCAAACCTATGCTACCTATGCTATTTTAGTCTTCTCTGTGATAACATTCTCCTGAGTCCATGTTTCTCTCTCAATCCTCTAATTTTTCCTTTGATTAGTTTCCTGAGAGATGTGCTGTCTCTTGTCATTCACTCTGCAGTTCCCTTTCTCTAAGGCCTGGGGCCATCCAGTGGAATTGCTGACTGACCTTAAGAGTCAGGCTAACTGGGAATGGGCACTCACGAGGAGTGTTCAGAAAATAACATTACTGGAGGCACCAATAAAGAAACTGAAATAAATATTCAAAAGGTATGGACCAGGCATCTGGGTCAATACAGATCCCCAGTGGAGACACTTTCCTATTGCCTACATGAGGAGATATGATTTTCTTACTTCATTTATAAGATCTTCCATAATAATAATGACTAACTAATATTCTAAGTTATTTAGATATATTGACTAATTTAGTTTGTATAATAACCTTAAGAGGCGGTTACTATTAGAGTCCTAATTTTACACATGAGGAAATAAAAACAGAAAGCTGAAGTGATATTATGAAAGCTACCCACTTATAAATACTGGAGTAGGGATTTCAACCCAGGTCATCTGGCTCCAGAGCCCTGCTAATAGACCACTTTGCTCTGCAGAATCCTTATCTGATCCCAGCATTCACATTCTGGTTTTACTGGTGGCAGAAAATTCTAGAAATTGATTTTTAGGTTTTATTCTAATTTATTTAAGCTTGACTCTGAATGAAAGACAAATAGGAAAGAAGGTCTACTACTTAGGGAGAATAACCATAATAATAAAATAAAACAGAAAACAATATTCTGCTTGTGTATTTTTTCTCTTTGAAGGAATAAAGAAAGTTAGTAAGAGGGAAAGATGCTCAAAGGGGGCATAAAAACAAAGTAGAAATTGAGTAGTTATGAGAAGTAGGACCCAGAATTATATACTGTGGATAGGAGCAGACGGACAAAGATGAAGATAAAGCAGTTAAGAGGCAGTTTAATAGACAGCAATTAAGAAGAATTAAAAGTGTTAAAAACTGGAGAATAGTCTGAAAGAGTAGAAAGGAAGTGCCAGAGGTAGGAGGTAAGCTTTTAGGAGCTAAAATCCATTGTATTTAATGAGTAATTGAACTTGCTGGTTAAAGGAAAGGTGTGAAAAACTTAAATACATTGTATATATTCTTTTTTTTTTTTTACAAATAGTTTATTGTCAAATTAGTTTCTACATAACACTCAGTGCTCATCCCCAAAGTGCCCTCCTCCATGCCCATCCCCCCCTCCCCTCCACATCCATCAGTCCTCAGTTTTTGTCAGCATTCAAGAGTCTCTCATGGTTTGCCTCTCTCCCTTTCCCCCACCATTTCCGCCCTTCTTCTCCCCCTTGTTCCTCCGTCAAGTTCCTCCTAATCCTCCTATACGTGCAAACATATGGTATTTGTCCTTCTCTGCCTGACTTATTTCGCTCAGCATAACACCCTCAAGGTCCATCCATGTTGCTACACATGGCCAGATTTCATTGTTTCTCATTGCCATGTAGTATTCCATGGTATAGATAAACCACATCTTCTTGATCCATTCATCTGTTGATGGACACTTAGGCTCTTTCCATGTTTTAGCTATTGTGGAGAGTGCTGCTATGAACATTGGGGTACATGTGCTCCTATGCCTCAGCATTTCTGTATCCCTTGGGTAAATTCCTAGCAGTGCTATTGCTGGGTCATAAGGGAGTTCTATTGTTAGTTTCCTGAGGAACCTCCACACTGTTTTCCAGAGGGGCTGTACCAGTTTACATTCCCACCAACAGTGCAGGAGGGTGCCCGTTTCTCCACATCCTCGCCAGCATCTAGAGTTCTCTGATTTGCTCATTTTAGCCACTCTGACTGGCGTGAGGTGGTATCTCAGTGTGGTTTTGATTTGTATTTCCCTGATGAGGAGGGATGCTGAGCATCGTTTCATGTGTCTGTTGGCCATCTGGATGTCCTCTTTGGAGAAGTGTCTGTTCATGTCTTCTGCCCATTTCTTCACTGGGTTGTTTGTTTTTCGGGCGTGGAGTTTGGTGAGTTCCTTATAGATTCTGGATATTAACCCTTTATCTGATATGTCATTTGCAACTATCTTTTCCCATTCCGTTGGTTGCCTATTAATTTTCTGGGTTGTTTCCTTGGCTGTGCAGAAGCTTTTAATCTTGATGAGGTCCCAACAGTTTATTTTTGCTCTCGATTCCCTTGCTTTTGGGGATGTGTCAAGTAAGAAGTTGCTGCGGTGGAGGTCAAGGAGGTTGTTTCCTGCTTTCTCCTCTAGGGTGTTGATAGTTTCCTGTCTCACGTTCAGGTCCTTTATCCATTTTGAGTTGATTTTTGTGCATGGTGTGAGAAAATGATCTAGTTTCATTCTTCTGCATGTTGCTGTCCAGTTCTCCCAACACCATCTGTTAAAAAGGCTGTCTTTTTTCCATTGGATATTCTTTCCTGCTTTGTCAAAGATCAGTTGGCTGTATACTTTTGGGTCCACTTCTGAGTTCTCAATTCTGTTCCATTGGTCTATGTGTCTGTTTTTGTGCCAATACCATACTGTCTTGAGGATGACAGCTTTGTAGTAGAGGCTGAAGTCTGGGATGGTGATACCTCCCGTTTTGGTTTTATTTTTCAGTATTACTTTGGCTATTCGGGGTCTTTTGTGGTTCCATACAAATTTTTGGATAGTTTGTTCTAGTTTTGAGAAGTATGCTGGTGCAATTTTGATTGGAATTGCATTGAATGTGTAGAGTGCTTTAGGTAGTAATGACATCTTAACTATATTTATTCTTCCTATCCATGAGCATGGAATGTTTTTCCATTTCTTTGTGTCTTCTTCAATTTCCTTCATAAGTTTTCTATAGTTTTCATCATACAGATCTCTTGTATCCTTGGTTAGGTTTATTCCGAGGTATTTTATGGTTTTTTGTGCAATTGTGAATGGGATCAGTTTCTTGATTTCTCTTTCTGTTGCTTCATTGTTGGTGTATAAAAATGCAACCGATTTCTGTACGTTGATTTTGTACCCTGCAACTTGGCTGAATTCTTGGATCAGTTCTAGTAGGCTTCTGGTGGAGTCTGTCGGGTTTTCTATGTAGAGTATCATGTCATCTGCGAAGAGTGAAAGTTTGACTTCCTCTTTGCCAATTCTGATGCCTTTGATTTCCTTTTGTTGTCTGATGGCTGATGCTAGGACTTCCAGCACTATGTTAAACAACAGTGGTGAGAGTGGACATCCCTGTCGTGTTCCTGATCTCAGGGGGAAAGCTCTCAGTTTTTCCCCGTTGAGGATGATGTTAGCTGAAGGCTTCTCATAGATGGCTTTGATGATGTTTAAGTAGGTTCCTTCTATCCCAACTTTCTCGAGAGTCTTTATTAAGAAGGGATGCTGTATTTTGTCAAATGCTTTTTCTGCATCTATTGACAGGATCATATGGTTTTTATCTTTTCTTTTATTGATATGATGGATCACATTGATTGATTTGCGAATGTTGAACCAGCCCTGTAACCCAGGAATGAATCCCACTTGATCTTGGTGGATGATTCTTTTGATATGCTGCTGGATTCGATTTGCAAGGATCTTGTTGAGAATTTTTGCATCCGTATTCATC